TGTTTTCTTATATTTAATTCTAAATTTACCTTTTACTGATCCCTTGGAGGCAAAAACTGCTATAGGTTGATGTAAGTTTTCTGCCAAACTTTTTATCATTAATACCAACCCATGGTTGGCTTTCTCAGATGTTTTAACATCAAATCCATCTCCAAAATCTTCTAACCCATGATATGTAAGATTTCTGGTATTAACACCCAAACCTTCTCTTAAGAAGATTTCGTCAAACGCTAATATAACTTTTTTTCATATTCAGTTTTATGCTGATTTTTTTTTTAAGAGTTTGAAAAAATCTTCATCAAACCCACAACCAATTTTAACAGCCAACAAATGCTTTCGAAGTGTATTTATGCATGGTAAAGGTAATATGTTTTGCTCGCTTAGAAATGAATAACCACCTGCAGACCTATATTAGGCAAGTACCATATAGTTTATTAATACTATTTTAGATAAAGATATAAAGTATTAAGTAGATAAATTAAATAAATTGTTATACCTTATTTGAAATAGCATGCATAATAACATCCAATTTTCATTGTATCTTCGATTCTTAGTATTTTTAACCTTTGCTGCCATAAATATTTCTTTTATTAATTCAGACTGCCCTTTAGAAATGTCTGTACTTTCCAAAATGTTGTTTAGAGTCAATTTATCGATCATCCTTAATTTTATTTTTAATTCTGATCAAATCATTTTCTAATTTATTAATTTTTTTAGTAGCCAATAAATGTTTTTTTTTTTACAGTTTGTTTTACATTTTGAATTCTTGGCAAAATTAATCTTTTTTTGGGGGAAAAATATGTTCTGATATTTTTTTTTGCATTTATCCTAGATTTATTTTTTTGCATTGAATAAAATAATAGACGTTTGCACCAAATACTGTTATTACAATCACTAAAAAATAAAATACTACATATTAACACAAAGAAACATTTGATCCAATGATGTGTTTAGTATTTAATTTACCAATCATCATCTTTGAGTATTGTTGAACAATTTTTGTGCCTCCATAGACCATCAGATTCAATAATATTATGGCTGAACACGGATATTTTATTCAACAATGCCTTTGAAGGTGTTACTCCTTCACAACAATTAATTTTATCAAAAATATTTAATAAATCCTCTACATCATCTTCGGTTCTTATAACATTATCACTTAACCCAATTTCTAATAATGCCAATTTTTCCCATTTACATGTATAATCATGTATAATTTAGAATCTAAAATAGAATAGTATGAATTAAGATAAAAATAAAAATTTTGTGTTTGATATATTATAACAGAATAATTACCTTCAGTATAAATGAGTTGTTCTTCTATAGATCTTTTATAATCTTCTTTAAATAATTAATTAATTTATGAAAGGTAGGCACCAAAATATTGGGTGTATACAGAGCTAAACTAGCAAACCAATTATTTGGGACAGTCAACGATAAAATATTTTTTTAAATTTTACTGTATAAGGAATTTGGTGGTGTTATTAGTTCTATCTGTTGAATTACATTTAAGAATGTTAATAATGTTAAATATTTAACAATATATTTTAACAAACTTCAATATCGGGCTATATCATGGGATTAATGTTTTTAATGTTCACCGGAAGTGCATTTTTTTAGTTGCGATTTTTTCAAACATATCTAAGGAAACAGTATTAGGTATTTAAAAATTATATTAAACCGTATTATTATTTAAACTCAATTGTAAATATATTGCAGTGATATTTTTTATATATTGAACTTTTTTATTTAACGTTCTAATTAAGTTGAAAAATTTTACACAATTGTGTTTATAATATTTTAATGTAAATGAAAAATAATAAAATTGTTTGGGTACCGTGTACTTATTTACTCCTTCACCGCTTGACCATGTACTAACAATATCGGATTGATTAAAATGAGTAGCACAAACACGATCACTTTTTTTTAATTGCATACCTAATGATGCTTACCATAACATTTTTTTAAATTCATCTTTAGGTACACTACAATATGGTTTTAAAATATTATGAGGTTCAAGCACACAACAATTTTTTGGCATTTTATTAAATACTAGCTCTAAGTGTAACTCGGGGCCCGTCGGACTCGCTGGGAGTAGGTACCGATTTTGGAGACAATGAATTATAAAAGTCGTAAAGGTTGTAAGACGAAAGTTTATGATTTGTGATACGGATTAGTAATATGGATTGGAGATAAGGCTAGACGCTTTGGCGTTAATGTTTAAAGTTTGAGCGTCTAGCAATCCGTCACAAACGTTGTAAATGGATAGGCTGGATACGATCTCCAAGATCACCGATATAGAGTATACCTGCACATAGAGTGGTATGTGCCGTAGCATGACCGGTGCCTTATCTTATGTAAAAAGTGTAAAGTCGAAAACCGTGTTGGAGTTTCTAGCAAGTCAGTCATCTCAAGTTAAAATCTATTAACTTTCAAGTTAGCCACTTAGGTGGGCAATCCGACTTCGTCGGATCGCGGACAATATGCTACAGCAAATCAAGTAGGCAATCCACCTGCGGTGGATTGCAGACCCGACGTCAAGCGGCTATAAGTGAAAACCCTATCACACAACTTACGAAATAATTTACGAAAAATTCAAACTATATACAATATACATACCAACAAATATGATATGTATTTATTGTGTGATATAATATAACAATGAACATTTTGAGAAATGTGCTATTATAATTCCTAAAAAACCCACCTCCCACCTGCGACGAATGCCACGCCGACCTCTCAATACAACATATCATCCAGGATTGCTCAAAGTACAGGGACGCAAGAAACAATCTAGCTATACCACCGAATATGGATGAAGCACTAAACGAAAATAATATTATTAAAATTATCTCTTTTTTTACTCAAATCCACCTCATAAACAAACTTTAACAATGTAAAAACCCTTTCCGTAGTCATTAAGCTATAATATTTTTTGTCTTGTACTCTTAATTCAAGCTAGGCTAATGACCTGTGATGTCGAAGCCTTATTTTCAAATAAAAAAAAAAAAAAAAAAAAAAATTCCTAAAAAAAATTTACATATAGGTAGATAGTTAGATACACACTATTATATTAACCAATACAATACATATAAACATGAACCTATAGTGTATATACATATATTAATTTAAAAAAAAATGCAAAAACCTGCATGTTAAAGTGTCTATCAAGTCAATCATCACCGTTTAAGACGAAACTAAAATGAGCCTACATGTAGTAGGTATATCACATTGAGTGGTATGTGCCTTCGCATGTCCGGTGCCTTTTCTTATGTAAAAAATGTAAAGTCGAAAACCGTGTTGGAGTGTCTAGCAAGTCAGTCATCTCAAGTCAAAATCAAATTAACTTTCAAGTTAGCCACCTAGGTAGGCAATCCGAAATAAAATACAAACTATATTTATATAACAATCATGGAAATTTTAAAAAATATGCAATTATAATAATTCCTAATAAAACAAAATTTGTTATATTTAATATAACATGTACCTATTTATTGTGTGATATAATATGACAATGACTTTAAATAATAATAATAATAATAATAATGTACGATAAATATGTTCCTGTATTATTATTTAATTTATATGAAAAATATAGTGAAAAAAAATGCAAAAAAAGTCGAGTTAACCGTGTTAACCATATGGCCATGACGGTTTCGATGCCCGGCGAGCGTACGACGGATTCGAACTCGGGACCTACGTGTTTCCTACTTAACGCCTAACCTACTTGGACACAGTTTGATATGTGAAATACGGTCAAAACATCAACACTTAAGCCGTGCATCTACGGAGCGACGTAAACCGATATATTC